AAAAGTCTTAAATTGAACTTGCTGTAAACTGTAGGAACCCTGCTATAACGTGATGTCACATTCAGCTAGCTGTGTTTACAGAATGGGTATGGATGCTACATGTTAGCATGTTGATTCTGATAGAAAATCAAAGCAGATAATCTGTATCTGACATTCACTGTTAACATTTTAACTGTCCTCTTGCCGGCTGCTCCAGTGCAGCATTTTATTTTTGGAACAGGAGCGACGTATTAAAGCTAAATTGTCAATCCAGTGACTGTAGCATCGATACGGTCCGAGACCAAGGTTACTTTTATATGCTTCTGTGGATTCTTATTTAGTCAGGACATGGAATATTAAGAGAAAAAAGGTGAATCAACTGGACTTCTGTTCTGTTCTGAAGATGTGTGGAGTCACAAGCTTTAAACTGCACAAKGTGTGTATCAATATGCTAGATGCTTGGACTGATCCGCTCACCCCCACCTCACTGGTGTAAAAGTCTGATCAAATATGACATGAGCGTTCAAACTGCAGTCACATTGAAAAACATCACATGTATTCAATTTAGTACCACATATTGAAAAGACCTGGGTCGGATTTGAAAAAATTGGATATGTCACGTTCAAGCTGACAGGAAAATATTCGATGAGTCACATTTGTGTTCAGCGTGAACCTTTTTTTTTTTTATTATTGTAGCAATTGTTTGACAGCTGAGGGAAGCATCTTCCTTCAAAGAGATGTAATGCATTAAAAGTTCAATAACTACTTGGGTAAAAGAATGGATGTCCTGGTTGGATAATAAGTAGTACACTTATCAAATTTAATTTGATTCTATGTTACAAGAATAAATATTATGTATGAATGTTATGTTTTATACAAAATGGTCATTTTAGTAAACATTTATATGATCACCTGTCATTCTAAAAATGGATCAGTGTATACTGACAAACTGGGTGCATTATTCAGAGCTGGTTTGCTGCAGTGRCCTTTTTATTCCTGATTAGTGGTTTTGGTAGCATGAACAAGACATTTGTTTAGCAAAGTCAGGGAGTGAAAGTGTTGCTATGAATGCAGAGCTGCAAACAAATCCCAGATGGTTGCCTCTCCCAGGATTCCCGCTCTCTAAGCACAGCTTGGCTGAGGATTTAGCAGTCATTTACTGTTTGTTTAGACCTGAATGACACCATAATTGGGATATGATATGACAGCTCTGATTTGAGGTAAAGTGTGCTGCTATTTGAAAAGTTTGCTTTTTTCAACTTTTGCTAGCGCCACAAATTATCATTGTGTCACATAACATTTACACTTTGCCTCAGCCTGTCAGCAGTTAGTTAGTCCAACATAAATGATGCATGAGAGTAAAGTGAGAGAAAAAGGTTGTGATTCTCAATAAAGAAAAACAGTAATACAAAATAACGTATCTCTCAAAGTGTTCAAAGATGTTTCGGCTGATCTCAAAGATCATAATAAAAACATGTCCTAGGTTGTACATAAAATTAGTTAAGCATTGTATAAAGTACTACAAAGTGATACTTGAGTAAAAGTACAAGTATCTTATCATAAAATTACTTTGGTAAAAGTTAAAGTCTCCTCTAAGAATTTTACTTGAGTAAAAGTCTTAAAGTATCTGATTTATTTTGTACTTAAGTATCAAAAGTAAATTTCTGACAAAAAGTGTACTTAAGTAAAAGTATTTAGTAAAAATGAGAGGTTAGGTTTTCCAAAATGCATTTTTAAAGGCATGCAGCTGTGATGGATTGTATACAAACCAATATGTGTCAGAATGGTATATATTTATACTTCTCATCCAACCACAGTTAAATTCAGTTTATCAGGATAGATTTTTTTAAACAATAATGAGGTGGAATGAAAAAGGAATAATGACTTTCTACTTCTTACTTTTTTTTWAAAAAAATGTAKGGAATAGAAAGTACAGATAATTGTGTAAAAATGTAAGGAGTAGAAGTAAAACGTAGACTGAAAAACAATTACTCAGGTAAAGTACAAATAGCCAAATTTTCAATTTAAGTACAGTAACAAAGTATTTGTACTTTGTTAATTTACAACTCTGCATACATACAGATTATAGCAAAGGAAATAAAATATTTTTGTTGTGCATGTCCTCTTTTACAAATGTAAATGCAGTTCATTTAAACAGGTAATTGCTCTGGTTCAGATCAGGGGGGCATTCCTCCCAACCACACCCCACCAGGTCTCACCGTCATTGCCCACATGAGCGTTGAAGTTTTATGAACGTTATTTTGAAATACACGCACAAGTCGAGGTGAAAGTTTGTGACTCACCTCCTGAAATACATAAACAATGACATTAAATGTTCCAAAATTTCAGGAAAATTTAAGCCTACGACTCTCAAACATTGTCCCTGAAATAAACTGTTGTCCTGGCCAGGTTGTGCACTTCCTTTTTGCACAGTGTGTGCTGGGATCAAGATAAAGTTTGTAAAAAAAATGTCTATAGATAGCTGAAGAATTAAAAGAATTTTGAACATCGCAGGGAAGCAAACATTTGTCAACAGTATGTGTGCTGAGAGTGGAGGAACTCTGTAAAATGCATTCCAAAAATATTTGGATACTAAATATCAGCAAACTTATTACATCAGTGATTTATTTGCTGAATCAACTAGGTTGATGTTWAAAAAAACCTTTTGGTAAATGACTTTTTAAACAAATCTTTTCATGAGAAATCTTTTTGATGAGTACCTTGAGTCATTCAGCTACTACACTGACACTGGCATTGTACTGAAAGGCACTTTTACTCTATTTTCACTGTTTAACTAAATTAAATGTTAAATGAAAAGTCTCACTGTGTGCGCCCCAAAGTTTGTTTCTGCAAATGAAATTATTCCTAAGATYATTACCCACAAATCATTTGTAACTCCATCAAATCAATCATTTTCAGCAAAAGATGCTAAAGCTGTGGCATTTTTGTGTGTGCATCAATATTTTCTGCTAATGATTTAAGCCAACAAAGACAGAGTTTTAACAAATAGATCAGAATGTAAAAGCTGCACGGAAGTACATAAACTTTACCTGTCACTGGCATGATTTTAGTGCTYGTCATGGCTGCCAGAGAGAACAGAATGTGTCTGATAATTAATGCCTTACAACAGTTTGAGCAGCAGATCGAGCTGCAAACAGGTTTGACTCAGTTCCTTCTCTTTAGGAATGCTGATCAGCCGTTCCTGCTCTTTTTCTCCTTGGCTCACGTCCACTCGCCRCTGTTCAAAACGCCGGCGTTTGCTGGCAAGAGTCGCCGTGGTCGCTATGGTGACAACATGGAGGAAGTGGACTGGATGATTGGTGAGTCAGGAGTGAAGAGCAAATATGTAGGGGCATGAATTTGCTTTTTTTTCTCCTCAGTGACTCAGCAGAAATCAGAAAAGTTGGAATAATTCATGGTTTCAAACCAACCCCCACTTTTTTCAGGTAAGRTAACAGAGACGGTGGATTCCCTCGGACTAGCCAACAACACCCTCATCTATTTCACATCAGACCATGGTGGRCACATAGAGAGTGGCCCGACCGGCAGCTGGAATGGTATATATAAAGGTAAAACAACATGCTAATTGTTTTTATTAAAAGACACCCATGCAGACATTTGTGTAATTTCTTCTGTTGTGTCACTTCCAGGTGGGAAGGCCATGGGGGGCTGGGAAGGGGGGATCAGAGTACCTGGTATTATTCGTTGGCCTGGCAGACTGGCAGCGGGGAAGGTGGTGGATGAACTCACAAGTCTGATGGATCTCTACCCCACACTGAAATATTTAGCCAAGGACACACAACCAGACCGGTACAGAGTTGTTTCTCC